AAAATTTATACATGTATATGTGTATATGTGTAGGTATGTATGTATCTAGAGCCTTCAAACACACATGGCAGGCCATATCAACTCTTTAACATGTTCACCTCTCATCAATTACCTAATGATGGGCCTATGACAGAGTGGGCTATCCAAGCTCATGGGCCTGAAAGTATATAGACATAAGTATGAGAGTTGTGAACTATGGAAATTGGAGTGTATACACTATATTTTCAGTGTCTTTACACCCATATAAGGCCCAAATCTTTTATATACAAAAAGTTTTTTTACCTCCCGGGGACCCCCCCCCCCCCCCCCCATGTGCCTGATAAGGATCTTGAACCCCCCTTGCCAGGGCCAAAGCCAAGCCAGAAATCTTGGCCTATGTTGGCTTTGGCCTGGCTTGAGGGTTTAGAAAGACAAAGCCAGGCCAAAAGCCAATGGCTTTCAGTTTGATCATTGATTGCTGATCTAACCTCCCAAAAAGGAAGTTATCTAGTCATGTGTTGGCTATTACTAGTATCTCTCGGCCAATTAATGTTCTACAGGCTACCTTATGACCACTCTCTACACTAAATTAATGATCAACTATTATTTTTGATGCCAACATCTGATTAACAACACCGGATCACACCCAGCCGAGGCCATGGCCTAGGCCAAAGCCAAGCTAAAGCCAGGCCAAAGCCAGCTGTGTTGGCCTGGCCTGATGATTTGTGAGGCCAAAGCCAAGGAAAGCTGGGCCAAAGCCATGGCTTTCAGGCCAAGCCAAGGCCAGAAGACCACTAATCATCAGGCTCTTCCGCCATAGCTTGTCATGAGTAATGAGTCGTCGAGCTGGTTTGCTACACTGGATTGGAGAATCGTGCTTTGAACAAGGTCTACAACACATTGGTAAGGTTGAGAAAATGCACGATACAACATACCTGGATCGACGAAGAAGCCGGTGAGATATACCGAGTTACTTCCTGCACCCTAGAGTTAGTAGTCCCATAGACCTGCGACAAGCGACTTAATCGACAGTGGGGCTTGTTGCGAGCGAGGAGAAGGTACTATTGCTGCAAACAGACTCTTCGTCATCAAGGCAGTGTGTTTTGCGTTATCTTGCCGCATTCGACAATGAAGATTTTGGAAGTGGGCGGGTGCGGGGAACGTGCTTTGGCAGGCGTTGGAGCAGGTCGGCGAACGGCTGGAGGGAGTAGTGAGTATTACAGGCAAGCATTACAGGCAAGTGGAGATAAGTACTTGGACTGGCCGCAAGTGAGGGACCGTTGTAGCCGCGCATTCGGGCGCGTCTTGGCATGGGACGCACTTGTGTGGTTCGGGTCACCGTCCGCGCTGGGCGGACGCGCTGGGTCGGGGAGGCGCGCGGAGATGGGGAAGGTGGGAGTGGTTCGTAAGCGGCACGTGCCTTCGGGTGACGGACCCGATCGACCGGTGGTCGCTTCCTCCCACTCCTGAGCCGCCGTCGTTGGCGTTGCGCCTGAGCGCCCGCTGTCTGTCCTGGGGGTTGCCTCTGGGCTGGATGAGTCTGCTTTTGTTTGAAGAGGCTCGTGCTTACCGCTTGTCAGCGTCATTGTTCTCCTCCCTTCCTACCCCGACACCATACACGCAACCTCCAAGTTCGACACGCGCCTTCTACGTTCTTGCTCCAAGGTCAGCCTAACATTATTGCCGTTACGTTGAATACTTCGTATTACTTACCTGGTTGCAGCACTGTTCTCGCGTTGTTTTTTTGCCATACGACCGTCATCAACATCGTCCCTGACCCTTCGCCAAACCCACGCTGGAGGAAGAGTTAGGTCCGGCCACTGGCATTTCATTCGAGAACTGCTTACTTTGCAAAGACCTTTATCACCTTCTTCAAGTTCCCATTTTAATCTGGCTTTATCTCTAGCAGTTCTCTATGGATTTAGATTATTATTTCACTAGTAGGTAGGTGGTAATATTGTCTTAATATGATCTGATATGACTATAGTCGCATACCTTTAGAATATACTGTTATACCACTTTTCTATAGTTTTTCTACCTCAAATTTGACCAGGCATAATGATGACCTGATATCTCGGTGAGAAATGCATGGATAACCATGGGGTCAGTTTTGCTATGGTCAGATGGACATCCCTGATAGCCCTACAAGCCACCCATATTTTTAGGGACCCTATATACCCGTCTATATGGCTCATATCCTATTATTTCAATCTACCAATAACTCACTCAGAGGTAAGGAATCTCTAATGAGATGAAGGTAGGAAGTAGAAGAGGGGTTTGCCCTGAGAGATGTTATGCCTCCCATGATGTTTTATCCTTGAAATCTCTTGTTATTCTCCAATCTACATATTACTGCTATATCACAAGATATTAACAATACAGCCATGATCTGCTAGTTGATTGTGGATCAAAATAAGTCAAGTTCAGTCAATGAGGTATATGCACATACCCACCTACTCTGATTGATGATTGTAAATACCTGGATGGTGAAATGAGGCAGACATTCAACTGCAGGTTAGATGCAAAACTAGTTTACACGAATAGTGGGGTCTATAGACTGAGTATTGGACATTGAGATGCATGTATTGAGGCATTGGGATATCTACTAGGACCCTGTACTGTAATTGGTTGGGGCTATAGCATGTGTTACAGAAGGTAGCTAAAGAGAGGGTAGGTACCTATAGAGCAGAAGAGAGTGTCTTCGCTATTACAACTGGTCAGAAAATAATTTCAAGTATGATCCAAGACTTGATTGTAGAATGTTATATACCTTCAAATGAACCTGTCCAGCACTTGAATCAACCTCATAGCTATGATGGATCTCTCACAGTAGCATTATCAGTGTTATCTATTCCAAAGATGATGGGTTCCCCATGGTATGGCCTGTGGAAGTCTGAGAGATTTTAGTATATTCAATGGTAGGGATATGATCCACCTCCCATAAAGTGGTGCACCTGCCTCTCTGGCTTATCTCCATCCTGGGTTATGGGGCACCTAAGCTCTCCAACAATTGACTCACCCTAACACATGCTACAGCATCACTAATGGGTGGGATTATAATGGACTATCCTGTGATATCATATCAGTTTAGATCATGAGATTCCATGCATAGGGTCCCAAGATATCAGCAAAATACTCCTCAACTTAGTGTTTACACATGCTTAGCACTAAATAGATCAGGGTAATCGGTTACAGATGATATGGAACATTAGGCTAGACAGGAGTAGGATAATATACCTTTCAAATGAGCCTTTCCCCAGCTTTATCCACTGGGGCCAGCTGGAGATCTAAGCCTATCTTTCAAAGTTGATGGAAATCAAATGCCACTGATGAGGGACTGCCTTGCATTTTCAGGCCCTAATTCAGTTGGGATTGGAAGTAGACATAGTCAAGCATTGGCTTAGGGTATCTGAAGGTTCAGGTCAGCAGCCTTATCACTTTGAGCACCCACATATCCTCTTTCATATGAATAAATAGTCAGTATAGTGATTATATCATATGATGGTGATTAAATGCCATGTTCAAGTAATGATACTCTGCAAGGCCTTCCTGGTAGTACTGAAATCATATATTTACATTAAGTGGTTATAGAAATAGAAGCCCATCAGTTGAACATCAGCTAGTAATTGGACAGTTCTGATACTACTATTCAGCTGCCACTATACATTACTTAATGAAAGTTGTTTGTATAGTCAAAATAGAGAACTGTCATTTTGTGACCATTTGTGACATTATGTGATGATTGTGGAAATTTCCTTTTTTGAAAGTTTCTTATATGTATTGCTCTATGTTACAGTATGTAACTATATGACATAGTTGTCAGGGGATGAGGGTCCAGGTGCCTAGTTGATACCAAAGCCGGGGGAACAGCCCCATGGCCAACTACTTAAGTACAGGGCTATCTGCGCACGGACCAGTCACGTGATCAGTCACAGCTGTCACATCACATGCTCCCCTTACAATAGTTACTAAAACTACCAACTCCCAGGCTCCTGAACCAGCCGTCGTTGGAGAACGCTGTAGTCAGTATGTAACGTTTGTGACATCACGTGTAAAAGATATGGTGGTGCGTTCTCCAAGACGGCTGGCAGAACTGTCCCGGGCCGCGCACCCGGTCACACGTTACATCCGCCGCTCTGTGCTTGCGACGCCTTCCATGCTCGTCTCACTTCTGGATTAAATCTTCGCATTCCCTCCATGCCTCCTCAGGCCCAGGGGACAACACCGGACCCTCCCCGACAGACTCCATGGACTGCAGAACGTGTCCGTGCTGTGGGGCTCAAATATCTTGGGAAGCGAGCATGCTGGGCTCAAAGAATTTCAAGCTCATCGCAGCATGCAAGTGTCACAATCAAATGCGACCATGCTAGCACTGTTGGCTTGTGGTTGGTAATGCTGTAGAGAGCATCCAGGATGTCTTCCGGGGTATAGATATCGAGCGCTGGATGATTTGAGAGCTCAGGCTCATCGACTGAGAAGTGGAGCAAAGCCAAAAGAAGGCTGGTGACGGTGGTGTGGTGGGTCTGAAGGGTGTCGAGGATGTGTTTGCATTGTGTCGCGGACAGTGCCATTGGGAAGACCGGAGAGTTTCCAGTCGGTCGCAAGCACAGAGCGGCGGATGTAACGTGTGACCGGGTGCGCGGCCCGGGACAGTTCTGCCAGCCGTCTTGGAGAACGCACCACCATATCTTTTACACGTGATGTCACAAACGTTACATACTGACTACAGCGTTCTCCAACGACGGCTGGTTCAGGAGCCTGCCAACTCCAATCTCTATTGACGAAAGTTCCTTTTTGGGACGCTGTGTCACCTGTCACATGGTGTGACTTCGGGAGACTTGGTCTGGATGACCTATGTTGTATTATTCACCTTTATTCACCCCTTACATACTGGACTTAGTACGAATTTGCCTTAGAGTTCAACTTTATTCACCCCTCTCCCTAGCAATTATTCACCTCAGGGGATGTTCTGAAAATACTGAGCCTTGTCAATGGCACCCCGGCGGGTTACCACTGATAACTCACAGTGTTTTGTGGGCTAAACAGGTGGGTGGCCCAGTGTCTTGTAGCCCATCCTCACCATCTAAATCTTCCTCTGCCGTTGGAGGAGGGGGCTGACAAGCTGGCCTTGTGACAGGAGGAGCATGTTGTGTGCAATCAACACTGACACCTAACTGCACTGCTGAAGGTGGCAGCCCATGCCCAATGAGTTTTCGCAGGCGTCGGCGATGAACCTCGTCAAAGTGCTCCCTCTCAATGCGCTGTAGGTAAACATGGTAGGCAAGAGATGGATTGTTGTCCACTTGGCTGAGGTGTGCCTCATATCGTTCCAGAAATTGGCTTTCATCGTACATCCAGGTCCAAAACCGCTGAATCTCATTATGCAAACGGTTAATTTCCTCATCTGACCGTTTGAGCTGAAGGTCCATGGCCTGCTGAGCAGGGCCACCTGGCTGGGCCCAAGGTTGATCGCGGATATTGATGCGGCCCTCTCGCAAGAGGTCAAAGTCAGCAACGAAGGTCATGTTGGCCAAGTTGGCCATAGTGAATGTTGGGCGAGGGGGAGTGAGTGCTAGAGCTCGGGTGTTATAAGTTTCAAGATCTTTTTGAATAGTCTTGGAGCGGCGTTGAGTTTCTTTCTGAATGTGGACATGCTGATTGTATCCTAAGTATAACAGTTAGTAAGAGTCGGTGATAATCAAGAAGTAATCACTGCTGCATCAGTGACCATCACTGATCCGCTCCGTTATCGCCAACGTAGTCGCGTCAGTAATAGGCACAGAAGCGGGTCAGTGATAGCTACTGGTGCAACAGTGATGTGCCAACTTACCCGTGTTAGGCAAATGAATCTTGGCTGTTTCAAAGTGATTTGCCACAACACCTGCCTCTAGTGCATCAAGACTCTTGTGATAGGCTCGCAGCTGGACAAGTTCGGCAGCCTTGATATATTCTTCACTGTCAGGTGTCCACCTCTGCGTGCCAAGCACTTGTTCCAGCCACTGGACCTCATCAAGAGCTCGGTCGCTTTTCTCTTTAGCATGGCGGCGTTCAGTCTCAATGCGATTGTCAGGGGAACCCCCGCTTCGGCCTCCTTCAGACCCTCCGAACGCATCTGAGGCGCATCCGACCGGCACCCCTTCGGACGCTCCGACCTGCCCCGACCATCGTCCCACGGCCTCCTTCGCCCGCACAATCACCGATCCGTCAAGACCCTCCCAACGTGTCACGGATAAGTGTCGGGCCATTGCGGGCCCGTAGCACGCAGCACGTGACGACGGGGGAACATGCGCCCCAGTAGGAGGAACGCACACGTGGGAAGCACGTGACCGAGAACGACGCGTCGAGCCGTCGCCGAGCCCAACTCGACACAAGGGGACTGGGGAGGAGTGCTAGGAGGTCAGGAGTAGCGCCTGGCCCGCAAGGGATGTATGATCGTCCCCTCTGCGGCCAGGAACGGGAGCGAGGAGGAGGAGGAGAGGCCAGGGTGTCCGATCACCCCCTTTGCAGGCCCGCGTATATAAGGCGCGACAGTGTACCCTGTACTCTATCGCTTAGATCGTCTGAAGAACTACCTTACTCCGTGCAAGGAGACGTTATCGACTCATCAGGCCTAATTAGTACATTGCTCCGACCGTGTCCGTTGCCATCAAATCCTTCTGTTAGCCGGTTCCCCTGATGGATCGGTGGGGGCCCTACTGGCTACCGGCTACCGGCTACTGGCTACCCTACCCGCTACCCGCCCGCTACCCGGCTCCCTACCCGGCTACCCGGCTACCTGCCCGCTACCTGCCCGCTACCGTGTCCGTTGCCATCAAATCCTTCTGTTAGCCGGTTCCCCTGATGGATCGGTGGGGGCCCTACCGGCTACCGGCTACCGGCTACCGGCTACCCTACCCGCTACCTGCCCGCTACCCGGTACGGGTTGCGGCTGCCGCTTGCCCGACCCAACCGCATGTGGGTGTTCCCCCCTCATTTAGACTTATGCTATATGGGACCTTGTTATGCGATTAGCACACCTCTATCGCTCTCCTTTCCCACATTCACATGCCTGTGGGATGATCGCGATCATTGATCCTCCGTCATTGATCAAGCACCCTGCAGCTTTTCAGTCAACTTTGAGTCAACTTCACAAAATTCTGCGAAGTCCGTTCATCACGTGATGCACGATTCGTTCATTCATGCGCCATTCCTTCAACTATTCACGACTACGTTTAGTCCAAGTTCACAATTTCTCAAATATATTCACTACTGCAAAATATTGTTGTCCGTTTGTTGCTGTTTCGCGACCACCTTCTCCAGCTCCTCTAATACCCAGATAACGTCCGTGGTTGCCGCCCACCAGCTCTTCGTCATCTTTTGAAGTATCCTTTTACTGTCGCATGCCCACCAGTAAAGTGCTACGACAACGCTCAACATGCCATTTTGTCCCGGCACTAGCAACTCGTCCCAGGATTCTCCTTCTGTCGCTGCTCGCTGCACCGGCGAATCCCATGTCATCGCACCTCGCCACTCGGGTTGAATCCGGCGCCACCAAGCCCACCACTGCTTTTCGAAGGTCTTCAAATTGTCCAGCGCTACTGAAGGGATCTGTTCATGTGAAACATAACGCATAACGTAGCCCATGTTTTGTTTCAGTTCAGCTGACTCCGTAACACATAACATGGGCTCTGTTTCAGGATAGAAGGGCAGAGTTTGTGGCACAGATAAGGCAAAAGAATGAAGTCAGGGAGAGAAAATTTCTGTATTACAGACGGATGCTGGACAGGGCTTGGTGGCAAGGCCTTGTTTTGGGCAGGAAACAAGGCCTTGCCACTACAACAATACAGTCATGTTTCAGCACATAACACTAATATTCAGGCATGTTTTAGGTTTCAACACAGAGCGGAATCGTAGCGCTGCCTCTTGTGTTGCACATGAACAGATCCCTTCAGTACTGGGCCATGTCGGGCCGCCTGAATCCACCCAGCAACTTGTTTTGGTCGGCCGTTGGCGGAGAGGCCTTTCACCGCCGTTTTCCCATCCCAGTTCCAAATGCGCTCGAGGCGGATCAGCGCCAAGAGGAGTCGATTGTACTTGGCGTTCAGCGGCTTGCCCGAGAGTTCCTTCCAATATCCTTGGAGCCACGCAGGGGTATCCTTGGGAGGCTCAAGCGGTTGTACTTCCCCTTCGTCCCGCGAGTCCGCTTTTGACCCCCCCTGCCGTCGCTCTTTTTCCCTCGCAACTTCCGTTTCCCCACCATCACCACTCTCCGATTCTTCCGCTTGCAGACGCGATTTCTCACCGCTGACGTTGCCGATATCTGTACCATCTGCCACTGTCTCGCGAGCGCTGACATCTCCTTCCCCACCGTCCGTCAACGCATTCACAAGGACGTCCTCTTCCTCTGGAGCTGTTTCTCCTGCAGTCTCAGCTCGCTGCTTTTCTTTCCCCTTGCCCTTTTGACTTTTCTTTCGTGGTGCTAGAGGTTGTGCCGATGAAGTAGCTTTTTTTTCCTGCGCCGGCTGTGGCCGCCTTCGGGTTTTTGCTCGCGGCTGAGCCCTCGTCGGTCGCCTTCCTTTTGCCCCCCACCACCTGTTCCAACATCTGGTCCATCTGGTCCTTATCGTTGGCGCCATCCACCTCCTTCTTGTCAGGGGAACCCCCGCTTCGGCCTCCTTCGGACCCTCCGAATGCATCCGAGGCGCATCCGACCGGCGCCCCCTCGGACGCCCCGACCCACCCCGACCATCGTCCCACGGCCTCCTTCGCCCGCACAATCACCGATCCGTCAAGACCCTCCCAACGATCACCTTGGGACAGAGCCTGCGACGCCGCTCAGGCCTTCTGCGCTCTACGTCGGCAGTTACGGACGACCAGTATATAGTTGGCGCCCTAGCAGGCGGACCCTTAGAGTTTCTTCTCTTTGGATCCTCCCCTGCTAGGTCGGTCCCTCCGTGTATTTCCCGTAGCTTTTATTCACGCTTTGGATCCTCCCCTGCTAGGCTTTCGTCGGAGTCTCCAGGGTTGCCCTTACAGCAGAAGAAACTCTCTACGGGATTAACCGGTCAAGATTGCCAGGTTTGGTGCTGACTCAGGCTCGGAGTACGAGTCCGTACCCCCCCGTCACCGCCCCTGCCACTTGACCCCTCCTCCTCTGCTCTTGTCGTCTTTACGCCCGCTATGTCTACCGGAGCTGCTCCGGACGCTGACGCGCATGGGACGCACTTGAGGCGAAACTAGACAACCTCACCAATATCCTCACCCACCTTGCTTCCCAGGCTTCCGCTGCCGCACCACCTCCGGCAGCTCCCGAACCGCCTTGGCATCTCCGAATGCCCCGACGCGGATGCGTTATTTGGTGACATTACTGTCGCCTCAAAACTGGTCTTACGACCAAACCCCCCGTTTGCGTTTAACGGAGATCGCAAACGCGGCCGCTTCTTCCTATACGCGGTCAAAACCTACGCTCGGCTTGCCCCGGAGGCCTTCGTGGTTAACGGAGAGCCGAGTGAAGAAAAGGCCGTCCGCTACGCCATGTCCTATATGGCGGAGGGACCCGCTCAGCAATGGGCAGAGCGTCATGGGAGCAAAAACCCCTTCCCCTTCCCTCGGTGGAGCCAGTTCCTCTCCGAGTTTCGCCTTCGGTTCGTTGAGGAGAACGAACAGGACCTCGCGCTCGCTAAGTTGGAAAGCGCGGGTTATCACATGGGAACGCGGGATGTCTATGGATATACCGACGACTTCGAGGACTTGATGGACCTCGCTGGCTTCGAAGACGCGTTGGTTAAGGTGACCAAGTACCGCCACGGACTTGACCCCCTGATCAACAACGGCATCACGTCTTCGAACGACCCCCCAGACCTCCGTGACTATCTGGGCTGGCGCACTCGGGCTTTCCGACAATATGAAGCCCTGGTGCGAGCGAAGCTCATTAAGGGAACGGCTACCCCGCGGACCGCTTCGGGAGCTCCGCGGCGCCTTCCCCATCACTCGTTCGGCAACTCCGTTCCCCATCCGCCCGGTGGCCGCACCTGCGCCACCCGCGGCCCGCGCCCCGTCCCGGTACCTCCGGCTCCCGTCCCTATGGAGTTGGATCGTACTAGGGCTCGGGCGCCCCTCGTCGAGCCTGCTTCAGATGCGGCGACCCCAATCACTTGGCTCGGGACTGTCCGCTCCCCGCCGATGTTCGCCATATGGACATCCTCGGCGAGGTGATCCAGCAACTTGGCGATGAGATGCTGGGAGAGCTACTTGCGCGGTTGTCCGACACCGCGGCCTTAGCAGAGGCGCATTCGGAGGCTCCGGCAGAGGATTTTGTCCCCCGCGACGAGTGACTGGTGTGCCCTCGTTCGCGTCCATAAATCGTTTCACTTGTTTGTATGATGAATCAACTCCCTTGCCTTACAACGAGCCTGAAACGAAAGACGCACCCCCTGCCCCCTCCGAAGCCCCCCGTTCGGATTCGCCGACTTGCCTGGGAGAAAAAGTTACCTGGCAGCTATACCATCTCTGCCGCTCCTGGGGTTAACTCGCTCCACCTTCCTCTTGAGCTTGAGTCCACTGC